ATCCATTGTTAGGCTGATGGTCCTTCTTGATCATGTGATCAGCTGGTTCTGGTTGTCAGCAGCAAACTGGTTGATCCACTCTGAGAAGGTGCTATTTAAGAGACTGAGCTGAATACAGCACCTCAGACTGAGGAAGTCCTCAGGATGAGAGACGAAACGTTTCTTTTGCTTTGTTTTTTGTTTTTTTGTTTTCTTGTTTTTTGAATGTCCAGAGGACCAGATTGAACTTTTTTTGGATTTTATATGATTGTTTACAGTTGTCATCATTCTTTGTTTAAATCAGGTGTCTCCTGAAAATGAGTTCTCTTTGCTCAATGAGACTCACGTGGATAAATAAAGGCTCAATGAATAAAGGATCCAACTTGTGAAAAAAGAAACAGATTTTCTGGCCCGTTTGAGTGTCATCATTTGTTCCAAATTTATTCAACATTTTGGTGAATCTAAGGTTTGAGAAATAAGTTTCTTTACAAAATCTTAATGATGGTTTCTTTATTTTCCAGGGGTGCTGAGTTAAATTCAGGGGTGCTTGAGCACCCACAGAAAGAGGCTAAAATTGCCAGTGCCCTCAGCAGTGACTGGAGGGGGAGTGATTTGCATGTGAGTTCAGCTCACTGCAGTTTAAAGCTTTGAACAGAAGAAAAGCGTCTTTAGGAACTGAACCCAACGTACAACCTGAATCTCATGTGAGACGGCCATTTGTTTTGTTCTGAAGTTTTTCTGGACCGAACATGTGTCGATCTGACAGTTTTCAGCTGTCAGGCCTCTGACGAGGGTTGCCAACTCCTTGAAAATTAAATAAGGGACACCTCCTGGCAGGGTTGGCCGACCCCACCCCACCAGGATGATGATTCAAACCCCCCCCACCACCACCACCACCACCACCACCACACTTTTCTTGCTCTGAAATGAACCAGAATTTAATTGGATGCATGTTTTTGAATGATAAAAATAAGCATAGAACGTTAATTATTACACAATTTAATAATTTATTTTGAGTGCAAATACAATTACCAGGGTCAAATCTTTCTTAAAAGAATTTATATTTCTTAAACATTCTTTTGTTCTGCTTAGCTTAAAACAGTATTAACAGAAAACAATAAGAACATATAATGCATTTGGTACAAACATAAAGTTTGTGGGAAACTTGTAAACAAACACATTGAGCCTCACAAGCCATGAGTTTCCATGTGTAGTAAAAAAATAACTTGTAAACTAAAAAGGACAACGCTCCGTCATGTGGAGTCAGCGTGTTTCTTCCATTTGCATCTGGTGAGCTCGTGCTGCAGTAAGGACTGCTTTGTTTCTCAGAGCCCGAGTGAAACTCTGAAGAAGACATTTCATCATTGAGACTGACTATGAGCTCGCTTCTAATCAGTTCAGAAGAACTTTTGTTTCACATCAGTCCACTTATTTTTCATGAGAGAAAATCATTTCCACAAATCCAGTGGATGATGGGATGAGGACAAAGATACAACAGCTGGATGTTGGGGAGGTCAGCTGCCTGAACAACTTGATCCACCTGTGCTGTTCCCTTGGACTGACACCTTCTCCTGAGCTTCTGTGGTGAGGAGCTGCAGTCACACGTTCCTCATGAAGCTCATCCACACACATGCTTAGCCTGCCAGAAGGAGCGAAACGTTTTAGATCCGAGTTCACTGGAGGCACACAGTCATGCACAGAGGTGAATAAATGGAACAAATATTTGTTTGTCTTTAGAATCATATCCTTTAATATATCACTAATATATTAATATATTACTTTAATATATCATATATACTGTTTAATTTGTTAAAGATGTGTATAAGTATGCATATGTTTGTATACTGCAAAGTAAGTTTGATTATGTATTTATTTATATATCCGTTGTATCCATTTGTATATTACTGTCATTAATAAAACATGGTTCATCTTCACCTTGTTTGAGGCATCGGAGTGAAGAGAGGATGGGAGTGGGAGTGGGAGTGGGAGTGGACTGCTTTCACTTTCAATTTTTGGACCACTTCTTCTATTGCACTTGGACACATGGACGTCTTCAGGATGTCTTCAGGACATCTTCAGGACGTCTTCGGGACGTCTTCGGGGCGTCTTCTGGACATCTTCAGGACGTCTTCGGGACATATTCAGGACGTCTTCAGGACGTCTTCGGGACATCTTCAGGACGTCTTCGGGACATATTCAGGACGTCTTCAGGACGTCTTCAGGAAATCTTCAGGACATCTTCAGGACATATTCAGGACGTCTTCAGGACATCTTCAGGACATCTTCAGGACGTCTTCGGGACATCTTCGGGACATCTTCAGGACGTCCTCAGGACATCTTCGGGACGTCTTCAGGACATCTTCAGGACATCTTCAGGACGTCTTCAGGACATCTTCAGGATATCTTCAGGACGTCTTCAGGACATCTTCAGGACGTCTTCAGGACATCTTCAGGACATCTTCGGGCCATCTTCAGGACATCTTCAGGACATCTTCGGGACATCTTCGGGACATCTTCAGGACATCTTCAGGATGTCTTCAGGACATCTTCAGGACGTCTTCAGGACATCTTCAGGACGTCTTCAGGACGTCTTCAGGACATATTCAGGACATCTTCAGGACGTCTTCAGGACGTCTTCAGGACATCTTCAGGACACCTTCAGGACATCTTCGGGCCATCTTCAGGACATCTTCAGGACATCTTCGGGACATCTTCGGGACATCTTCGGGACATCTTCAGGACATCTTCAGGACGTCTTCAGGACATCTTCAGGA